TTGGAATGGCGCTCTGAAAGTACTGTTCTTGGCCTCCCAGTGTGCCCTTGTTCCCTTTTTGTTCAGGGCTCTTGCAATAGCCATTGTTGTGTGCACTTCTCTGCTGTTTGCTGCTGTTGACTTCTGCTGTTTACAAGACCATTAAATCGGAATGGGGTGGCTGGCGGGCGGGGGTCTGCGGGCGAGCTGGGCCACCGATGCCGACGAGATGGAGAGCAGCCTGGCCTCGATTAAGGGTTGAGGGCTTAGAGGCTTCGGATTCGGAAGTTTGAGCACGAGCATGTGTGTGCTAGCACCCGGAACATGGTGGCTCGTAGCGGTACTGGCATGCAACTCGTTCGTCATACCAGTGCGTCGGGTTTGCCATCAGGGTTTATGCTTTTGGGTTTAAGTTTCGGATTTAGGGTTTTGGGTTTAGGGTTCGGATTTGGGTTTTGGCTTGGGGGTACGGGTTGACAAGGTTGAATGTCAAATGTTAACTCAGTTCAGCAATTAGCAGTCAAGGATTTAGTTTTTAGGGGGTTATTTCTTAAGGTCCAGGTTTAAGGACTTCGGGGTTCAATTTTGCCACACCCCTAACCCTTATCCCCACCCTGATGCTTTCAAGCCGTTCCAAACCCTAACCCCCTACACCCTAGACCCTAAACCCTTTTGGATGACGAGCCCACCGTGTCGAGGCTCGGCCGGGCCATTGTGGACAGGGTTTAGGTTTGAGGGATTCGGGATGTTCAGTTCACTCTGCCGCTTTGGACTCGATGGCACGCTGCATGAAGAACCCAGCGCACTTGCATGTGGACTGGAAACCCTAATCCCTAAACGTTGCAGCCTGAACCTTATTTCCAAAGCTTAGGTTGAGATCTGGGATTAAAGCCTAAGTAAGAAATCAAGTAAGTAGAAATAATATCAATGGTAATAACAACAACAGAAATTAGCAATATTATTATTGATCATAAGATCAACAACAATAAGACTAGGACCTTCCTATCTTAGGCAATGCCGCCGCCTGCCGGGGCGTCATCCCAGGAGCCTGTATCTTACTAAGCCAATAGAAAATTCTCAAAGTTTGGGGTTGGGAGGTTCAGGGTATAGGGTTTGGGGTGTAGGGGTGGAGGGGTTTCGGGTTCATGAAAGTCTGACTAGGGCCTTGATATCTTAGGCAGCGCCTCCTGCTGTCGCTCCTGCTGTCGCTTCTGGCGTCGCATCGTCTCCTCCCGCAGTGCCTGTTTCTTTGCGCAAAGAACTTCCAACTTTTTAGGTTCCTCTCTGGGATTTTAAAAAGCTCAATTTTCTTTAGTCCTGGTTATTGACTAACAGGTTTTTAGGAAAAGAAGCCCTTCTCCGAAGTATTATTAGGTTCAGGGCTTAGGGTTTAGGGTTTTGAGATATCTCAAGCAGCGCGGCCCTTGGCCTCCTTCCCGCGCCGGCCTCCGGAAGCGAAGGCAGCTTCTTCCGTGCGGCCGCCTGTTGCAGGTGAGCCCTCAGTTGCAAGCGTTCCCCGGCAAAATATGACTTGTGTTCCAAGCAAACCCAAAACCGTAAACCCAAAACCTTGAACCCTAAACCCTAGACCGTGTGGCATTTCTAGGCAAACAGCCTACCTCTCCCAAATCCTAAGGCTCACGCGGCTATTGACACGGCTTTAGCACGCCACGCTGATTTGAAGTCTCTGGTGCAAGAGCGAGACAAGGCTAAGGAGACACCCACGGCAGCCAAATCAGCAACTAGGCTAAATGGCATGAGTAGTAAGAAGATGTGAAAGTCTTTTGGAAGCGCAGGTTAGTAAGGAAAGAACAAATTTCTTGGACTTTCTGGATCTTCCAAGGCCAGCGCTGGGCGCGATACCGCTGCTGCTGCTCCGGGCCTGTTACTCGGGCTTGCTAAAAGAGGAACCCGACACCCTAAACCTCAAACCCTAATCAAACCCTAAACCAACCTCAAACCCTCAACCCCAGACCCGATGCTAGCAAGGCGAAGTCTGCCAGCGCGAAAGCCGAGCAGCCTGTCACTCGATCTTTCTTATCGGGCTTTGTGTCTGCAATACTGTTTCTTTCGTTGCCTTTTGGATTAAAGTCGAAGGCTGTGCCAAGAAGCTTCATGCAGGAGCTAGCTGGCGTCGCTTGGCTGCTTTGGTAACGTATTCTGGTTCTTCCACATACCTGTGTTAATCCTACATGCATAGGAGTCCCTTGCTTGCAACAACCTGGGCCCAGGAAGCCTACGACGCGAACAGGCCTTACGAGCTCAAGATCAGTGAGCAGGCTGCTTGCCAGTTTTTAAATAACCTGATAAGCCCCCTGGACCTAAGAGGGCAGAGTCTGTTTCAACCTGGAACCGCAGACCCTGTAAACCCAAAAGCCGCAGTAAATCAGCACGGAGTATGTCAGGCGCACGCGTACGGGCATTGGTACCACTTGGTTCTGCAGGATGGCAGAACCTTGTATTACAATGACCGTTCAAGGCAGATGGCTTTCAAGCGCCCCTCTCTTGGCTCACGGCCCCTTGGATGTCACTTGTACATTGTCCTAGATTGTAAACCCTGATTTTATTTTGCGAGCTCATAGACCTGTACCATGTGGTCTTTAGTAAAGAGTAGACAACTCAGGACCAGCGTTGGCCAGAGTCAAGAGAAGATGCAGGGGCCCCGTGGGAGATCTGGAAGAAATACAGCCAGTGCTCGGACTCGTGGTGGCTGAACCCGAAAACGTGGATGCTGGCGCATAGGTCGATGTTCCCTACTTTGCTTTCTTAAATTTTGCTGCTTTGGCATTAGCCTTTTAAGTTCGTTGGCTTAGGTACGCCAAGCTTTTCTAAGCTGAGCTTCTTTATTATTTTAGGAGAATTTTTATCCCTAAGACATCCTGAGCTCCATCATTCATCATAAGGATGGAGTTCAAGAACGAGCTGTCGAAACCGGCTTCCTCTAAGACCAACTGTTCAAATTTGGCTTTCTTGTATGCCCGCCTTTAGTAGGCCTCTTATAATGAATCTGTCAAATTGCGCTCCGAAGCCCAAATAACCAGTAAGGACAAAAAAACGCCTCACGAACATGTCGTTTACTGAGCTGGCCGAGGAACGTAAGAAGAAGCGTAGCAGGTAGTCTGCCGTTTCCTGGCCTCGTATATAAGCCCTTAACAATTAAAAGCCCTAAAACCCTAAACCTTGAAGCCAAAAGCAGGAAATGGAAGACTTGGAATCGGCAATCATAATATGCACCACTCCTATATATCCCGATATAACACCCCCATCTTCCCGTCCCATTCACAAGGTGTCTTCAAAGTAGCCAGGGAATCACAGATGAAGAGCACGGATATGCATACAGACATGACCATGCACGAAGTGCTTGCCATTGCTGACACAGTTTTGTTGTCCCGCAAGGGGGGTTGACGGCATTTTGTGGCCGCAGATATCTCTGCCACAATTAGGGTTCCTGACACAACGGCGATGGATGCATGTGGAAACCCTGCTACTTTCCCTATTGCAATAAGTAAAGGTACTGGCACAGGAATGCTACACAGCAGCCATGCCTTTTGGGAGCCATTTCTTCAGGGATGCGGCAATGCACGGAGTGCCTGCCACTTCCAACACAATGTGGTGCAACATGAAGGCAAAAATATCAGCACTGCGCAGTGCAAATTAAAATTCGGGAATAGCCATATCTAAGTATCATCATTTGGCCTTTTCCGGCTCCTGGTACCCTGACACTCGGGCATAGTCATGGCTGAGTACCATGATTTGGTGCTTGCTGGTTCCTTGTACCCTGAAATTCAGGAATAATCATAGGCTTTTAGTGCCCTGAAACTTGGGAATAGTCATAACTAAGTATTATCCTTTGGCCTTGTCTGGTTCGTTGTACCCTGACACTTTGGGCATAGTCATAGCAAAGTATTATGACTTTTGTGTTTCCTGACAATTCGTACCCTGAAATTCGGGAATAATCGTAGCTAAGTATTATCCTTTGGCCCTGTTTGGTTCGAGGGTCTTAATGTTACGGGTGCCCCCTTTCAAATCAACTTCTTGGTATTCTGGTGAACGAAGGTCCGCACTACAACTCATGTTTCCTAAAATCAAGTCAGATTTCCTTCCCTCGGAATACAAATCCGATTCTGAGAATCTTGCTGTCCTTGAAGTTAATAGCTGGTTGTGNNGTGATAGGGACCTTCTTGGTTTTCCCAAAATCAGCCTTTGGTTGCAGTACGGACCGTCTTGTTGCAGTACTGACCGTTTGGTTGTGATACGGACTAATCGCCCCCCCAAGAAGAAGGGGACGCGAAGGAAATCAAAGCTGTTCGAATATTTCGGGGTTGGAGCTTGAAGGGTCTAGGGATTAGAAGAGGTAGATGGATAGAGAAAGGGACCCCTATAGGGTCCATGCACATTCCCAACTAAGCATGATACAGGCGTGTACTTGGAGGCCCACGGGACTTAGTAGCTACTTATAACTGGGATAAGTAGGGTTTTAAGCCCAGTTATAAGTAGTTACTAAGTCCCATAGACCCTAAACCCGAAACCCTACATGTCCCAATAGCCCCCTCTAAGAGGACCTACGTAGTTACTAAGTCCCATGGGCCTCCAAGCAGTCACCTTCTTGGCATAGATGGAGATTTGCTCGTAGACGGGTTCTCACGGCCCCCAGGTTTTACGAGGTTTGTTTAGGGATTGTCGGGTCCTCCTGGCATAGACGCTATTCTGATAAATTCCCAGTTCGTAATCCCCGCCACCACCCTAATCCCCAAACCCTATCATTCAACCATTGTGCTTTGACACCCTCCAGGGAGCATTTGTTTCCTGGCCCCATAAAGAGCCCGTATGAGAAACGTTTGGGTTGCGGAAGAAGCTCAGTGATGTAAGAAGTCAATAGGCGAGAAGTTGCTTTAAGCCTTCGAAACCAAAACCCCAAACCCGAAAACCTGAACCCCAAACCCGAAAACCCTAATCCTACAGCCTAGTCCCCATACTGCCTAAGCCCTAAGCCTTCAAATCTCAGGTGAAGAAGGTCCTGAACAAGGGCATCATCATCACCATCTCACCGGGGGTTGAGGGTTTCGCGCGGCTGGGACTTTTGTCATATGGTTTAGGGCTTAGGGTTTCGTCGTCTAAACTCCTTACAGGGGCATATACTTGGGATTGTATAGAGGACTACCATAGGGGATATTCAAAAGGGATACTAGGAGTTTGGACTACAGCTCATATGAGGATTTCCTTAATTTCTTTATAATACGGGTCCCGTTCCTACTACAATACGAGCCCTCCTATCAAATTCCCATTCTGGGAACAGTTCAGGCCAAGTCCTATTTTCATCTTTATTTGGGAACGGGAAATCCCTATGCTATCCCCATACCCAGCCACGTATATGTGATCATGTACCTGAAGTAGTTCCCAAACCCGAAATTCTAAATTGTACAGTAAATCCGAAGGAATGTAGTAGTTGCCATTTTCTTTTCCTCGTTCTCAACTCAGCATGAACAAGTAGGTAAGGCTTACTTCCGGTTTTTGCGGTGTAGGGCCGTGTAGGGTTGTCGGGGCCTAGTAGGGGATGTTTAGGGAAGAAGCTTTGCACTTCGATAAATGAGTAGCTGTTGGGCTAGATGTATCTTTCTTCGAACTGGGGCTCCGACATTTGTGCCCTCAAGCTTCCTCAAATCACACTAAGAAAAATGAAGCCAGCCCTAAAGTGTTTCAATGCTTGATACCGCATGAGCCTATCTCTGCAAGTGTGGTTGGTAACCATGAACCCTGAGCCCTGGACCCTTGGGGTGTCAGTCTTCAAGCGCCTTTCCAGTCTTTACTACGGGCCTTGCGCCTTCAGAGTTGCTGGGTGGGGGTATGGTTTTGTGTCCGGGCGCAAAACTCAGAAGTTTTCTGTGGAATAAGAGGATTGAATGCCGCGCCCCTATGAGAAAATGCACCGGAGCCCTCCTCCCCAAACCTCTCAACCAGGCAGCACACCGACAGGCTCAAACCCTGTGCCCTTCACTTAAGTCCTGGACCCATCTTAGTTCTTACATCCTCGCTTTCAGCTTAGGCACGTCTCGAAGCTGCGCGAGGGCTACGTGGGTCATCCCAGTGAGGTGGTTGCTGAGGGGGACGAGGCCTGTCTAGGCATAAGTTGGCATTCCTAAACGAGGGCCTGTGAAAAAAGGTAGATGTTACCAACGAGCTCTTATCCCACGCAAGTCTCGCTTGCGTATGTGACAAAATCTGGCTGGGCCTCCTCCCTTTTTTGTTTGGGGTTATCAGATATGCTCATTCTTGTCTGGAACCACCTGTAGCTTGTGCAAAAAGCTTTCTAGGGCTTTCAATCTAAGGAAAAAGCGGAGAAGTTCAGACATGTCAAACAAATCCCAGCGAAGCTGAAACACTCGCCGAACCTTCTAGCAGTCAGAAGCGTTTGCGATGCTTACATCCCTGATCTCATGCGACTCGTTGCTCCTCCTCCCCACAAGGGGACTCCCAAAGATTCCTTCCTGTTGTGGATCGGGAATTTATAATCATATACTCAACCAGAGCCTATACTAAAGTTACTGGTACCCAAATCCCAAGTACCTAATTATTTTGTATATGGACCCTCGGGTACACCAAAATTTGGTGTACTCCTAAATTTGAGGGGCGGGGATTCAGGAGTCATGCATTTATTTCATTCGGGCACCTGCAAAGTTTGCCACGAGAAGGGCTTCTCATCCCAAAGGGCTTGAAACTTAGTGTAGCCCACATTGGGGGTTTTCCAAAAATGATCAAAAATGGGGGTCCTCATTCCAAGGGTTATAGTGTATGGTGTTCAAGATTGGGATCTTACATTTAGCAACGTGGGCTGTGCAGTTTTCCTTCCGGTTTGCTTACAGGTTTGTTGTTTGCCCTCAGCTAGCAGGGTGCAGAATGAGGGGAGTGTGTTGTTTCCAAACATTAGGGGTCCCTTGTTCAGGGTCCCTGTAGTGAGAAGTATAGTGTAAGGGGGGAGGACAATGCATTATCGGTTTCCCAGCTGGCGAAACTCTACAGTACTCGTACTCGCTCGAAGAGAACATATCCAGTTTCAGGGAACCACCCAACGTGTAGGTTTGGTTGGTTGACATTACTTGGAGGGGCGGGGGCACTAAGTAACTGGGTTAACAAATCCCATAATTGCGCATAATCCGCGTAGAACCCAGGTTATCCGTGTTATTCACCCACTTACTAAGTCCCATGTCTCTGGACCCTAAACCCTAAATGATATAATAGCTTCCATTTTATCTCAATTAACCCATTTGGTAAGTTCCCTCAAGATGTCTTTTGGGGTACAGCTCAAGTGCACGCGCATGACAGGTTCGATGCTGGGTCATCCGCTGCTTGGCATGCAGACCATCCAAGGGTGAAACTATGGACCCCTAGCATGGGCCCTTAAACTTGGGATCCTAGTATACCTAGTATATACCCTATATGCACCCTTAAGGGTCCCTAGAATCCCCCTAAACGCCTAACGGCCCATATTAGGGGTCCATACGTCTACCCTTAGACACCAGCCCTGACTCTGAATCCATCTCCCGCTGTACCGGGTTGCCGTTGAGGAGCTTAAGCTAAGTTACCATAATAAGAGAATCGTATGTTTTGCTATATATATATATAGTGTGGTAACTTAACTTAACGGCAACCCAGTGTGTGGCAAGGGAGTAATGTTTGACTTGGGGATGCTATACCCCCCCACAAGATAGAAAACGGGTCACGCCTTTTTGGGGGCCTACATTTTCATAAGAAGAGCAGAATCTTGCTTGGCCCAGCAAAATCCCAAATTAGGATCCTGTTCGTGACAACTAGCTGCAATCCTTGTCAGTGCAATTGCAGGCAGTGAGAAATTCTTTGTGTTGTCTTTCAACTGGTAGTCGTCAGACTCATCACAATCCTAGGCCATCAAAAGAATGGGGTGAGCAACGATGCACAACCAAATTGTCCTGCCTCGGCGAAGAACCACGTAACCACAGTCAGAAACATCATACTGACCATGAGAACAACTGCAGTAGCTTCAACTCCCGCGGGGTTGTAAGAATCCTAGTGCGGCCACTTTGCGTTTTCATACGGATCCGCGCAGTTTGCTACTCAGACCTTTTGTTCATGTGGGTTTACTTAAGCCGCTTAAGCCTTTGGATTTCGTGTTCCGAGCAAAGGCCCCTAAAAGGGGCAAGCGGCTCGGCATACGAGGCCTTTTTTTTTTTGCTATCCAGACCATCATCATCTGTGAAGCACCACACCACCCTGATGGAGCTTCTGCCACATTCTAAACAGGCATATATTTTAGGAGGACCCCCCACCCTGCAATAGTGGTATAGTAGGAATATGAGAAGACCATAGTATAATCCTTATTATCCCTTATAGTCACTATTACTGGGTGGGGGGGTCCATTGGGGTCCACTGGGGTCCACCCAACATATCTTCTAGATCCCGAGGCTTACACCCAAAGTCAGATGAAAGCACCAGGTGCTATTGAAATGAATGGCTCCAACAGATTATCACAACTGCCCCCTTGCTTACTCGCTCTTAGTAGGAAAAAGGGGAAAAGTTCCTCTAATCCCTTTATACTATACTCCCTTATTCCCTACTAAGAACCAGTAAGTGTGAGTGCAAGGACACACAAGCAACAACCTGGAGCTCACGCTGCGGGTGCGCCATCCGAGTACCAGCAGTACTTTACGAACTTGGTTACCGGACATACTGTTGATTGAGACAATCTTGCCCCAGCTTGAGTCTCTCAAGTCCTAGGAACTACAATAGTTTAGGGCCCCTAGGTGGTGCTAGATTTAATCCAGCAGCAGTAAGTTATGAGTATCAACGGTTTTCGCTGGCTATTAGGTTTTTTTGGTTGGACCTTGATTGTTGGTAGCTATTCTGTTCAAGGAGGTTTGGCTTTGGGGTCTCGAGCTCCAAACTCTGCTGTTGCCTCAGCCCGGAATGTGAGAGTCTGGGGCCTTGTTCTGATGAACAGCTTGGACGCGTAAAGCAAAAGAATCAGCCGAGTCTGAATCTACTGTTTTCCCAGACTCCGACACTCACAGGCTTGCACGCTCAACAGGCAGAAATGTTAAGAACCTTATTTGATGCTTGAATTCAGTCCACGTATGCTACATGGATTCTAAGGACCCCAAGTGCCTCAACCACGCTAAAAATAGCTCGGAACTGCAGCTCTCTGTGGCAGGAAGTTGGAGACAAGGACCTCATGCGCGATTTCAAGACTCTTGGCTTCAATTATGAGATGGCACTCCGAAACGTGCAGGCAGCCCAAAGGTAGTTTCCAAAGATAGGGGGAAACCCTCCTAATATTACATAATAAATTCAGGGGCGTAAAAAGTTTGAAAACAACCCGTAAAAGGGGAAGACTACCTTTAAAAGGGGCCACATAATAATGAATTCGAGGGTTTTTGAAGTCCTTAGGGATCCCCTTGACATCCTAGGTTTCGATTGTTTCCACCTAGTTTTGAGAAAGGAAGTCATATACAATATGAATGCGATTTTAATGACTGTGTTACCATGTTGGCCGGATTTGGTTGGATTGCAACTAGGTTGCCATTGCATTTAATTAGATCTCAACTGATTTTATTTCGATTGCAAACAGATGTTACTAGGTTTTAATTTGATGTCAATTGGTCCAAATTGGAGTTTAGCTCGATTTCAATTGTTTTAAATTGAATTTTCGATTTCAATTTAGATGGACCTCTGTTTAGATTTTAAGTGGATTGAATTCGATTTCAATTGGCTTCAATTAGATTTTCGGTCGCAATCAGTTCTACAGTGGGTTTCCATTCGTTTCTCATTAGATTT